ATTTACCCAGCATCTTGGAGGCTGAAGTATCTTTTTTTTTTTTTCCCCTCCAAAATTTAACCATTTGGAATTGGGGGGCCGTCCTTGACGCCAGAGCGTCTCGCTCACCATAAAATATGGTAATCTGTTTACCTCTTAATTCCTTAGGTGGTATTTATGTGCCTGATACAGGGAGCTCTTATAAAACTCCTCTATACAGTAAAATTTTCCATAAGTGTGTTTGAAAAAATAGAAGCAAAATTGAATACTGTAGTGAAAGACATTCATTGTATGTGCTCTTCAGTTTCTTATGTACTTTTTCAGTTGCATTTGTGAAAAACTGCATGATGTAGAGAAGCTTTATAAGAGTGTCACGAAATCATAATAACATGATTGCAAACAAACCACACTGTGGGGGGGGGGTTAGAACCCATGTCTAGCGAGTCGTAACAATCCATGTCAGTGCGTACATTACTGGGTCTGCTGGCTACATTAAGATTCATCCAACTTGGTATATTTATGCACCATTGGCAGGTTAGCATAGGCCACCACTGTGACCACAGTTGCAAGTATTTTGCAGATATATCTCCCATCTGTTGTGTGGTTTGTTTGTACTTTGTTCTTGTAAAACAAATTACAGCAGGAGTAGTTTGAGGTAATCTGTCCCTCATCCTGGAGTCGATGTAATCAGTCCATCAGTCTCGAAAAGAATACAGCATATGTGCGAAGAAGTGGCATAACCTATAGGCATGACCTGTTGCCACGTGTGATATCACTTATGACTGCTGCACCTCACCTGTTTACAGTATATAAGCCACTTTTTCGCACATATGCTGTATTCTTCTCAAGACTGAGCAGCTCTGTATAGCCCTTGTGGCTTAGCACCTCTTTTTGATTATAATAATAATAATTCTCAAGACTGATGAACTGACTACATCAGCTCCGAGCAGGTTTTTTTTATGAAGCTCCTCTATATTGTGCTGTTTTATATAAATGCAATTGAGAACTTGCATCTAGAAATGTATAGCATGTGGAAAGACTTTCATAATAGGTGGTATTCAATTTTGCATAACCTTTCCCAATAGCATTTACAAAAAAAATTCCGCTATAAAAATACCATAGTGTAAAACAGGAAATACCTGGGTTTTTAATGTGCTTTACACACACAACTTCACATATACGTATTTGTAAGCAGAGAAAGAACAAAAACGCACGATGTTGTAACTGGAACAACGGTGGCCTGGTGGCTAAAGCTCCCGCTTCACACACGGAGGGCCCGGGTTCGATTCCCGGCGGGTGGAAACATTTCGACACGTTTCCTTACACCTGTTGTCCTGTTCACCTAGCAGCAAATAGGTACCTGGGTGTTAGTCGACTGGTGTGGGTGGCATCCTGGGGGACAAGATTAAGGACCCCAATGGAAATAAGTTAGACAGTCCTCGATGACGCACTGACTTTCTTGGGTTATCCTGGGTGGCTAACCCCCGGGGTTAAAAATCCGAACGAAATCTTATCTTATCTTATCTTACAGATAACCCGCACATAGAAGAAGGAAGCTTGTGATAATGTTTCAGTGCCACTTGGACCATTTACAAAATCACAGTTTGACTTTGTAAATGGTCCAAATTAGACCGAAATGTCGTTGTAAGTTTCTCTTCTGTGTGCAGGTTATTTGTGTATTGTGTGTAAGCACATGAAAGCACCCAGGTGTTTTTCCTATTTTCACTGTGGTATTTTTATGTATTTTTAATCACGTATTTATTGTGATTTCTTGCAATAACGTACACTGTATAGGACCTTTTTAAAAGAGCTTGCTGTAGTCATTCATAGTTTTGTTATTAATGGTATGAGTGAACTCTGCAGTATGAGTCAACACACATGGAGAAAATAAAACAGAGGGATGAGTTCCACATACTATTTTGGCCTACCACTGAGGCCCGCTTGTCTGCTGAAAAGGACCTCATGCCGAGTCTTGGTTTACTCTACAAGGAAGGCGCCTTAATACTGATTAATTTTTATTCAAAGACTTTGTATTGTCCTCTCCTTACTTTAATGAAAGCTTATTATCTCCCATTATAGTTTCCCCATTAATAAAAAATATTCTCCATGGGGAAGTGCAGAAGAATCCTTGCTCCGTAAGCCATGCGTGTCATAAGAAGCGCTAAAATACAAGTAGCAAGGGACTAGTAACCCCTTCTCCATACATTACTAAATGTATAGAGAAGAAAAACTTACGTTCTTCTTTTTAGGTCACCCTGCCTCAGTGGGAGACAGTGCATTAAAAAAACTATCCTTTATTGTATTTTTTCCATGTGGGTTGGTTCATTCCATTGACAAGTGTTCATTACGCTTCACAGACCGGGTGGGGTTTGAACTCATGGCAAGTGAGTCTTAAAACTCGCAGGTCAGAGTTCATTATACTCGTGTGTTTGTCAGTAATACTGATCGCAGTTTAACCATCTTCATCAAATACAACGGCTAGCTCTGGAGAGCTGCGGTATTTGGTGCAAGGTAAGAAAAGTACCAGACTGATGTATGTTGTGGTGGAAACTTGTTAAAGTGTGCTCACAGTCTTGACAGATGGTAACCTTTGTGGTATTGGGGTGGATATGGCCTCTAGACAAGACCTTGCACTCGCTGCTTACCTCTCGTCAACTCCTCTCCAGAGATTCTCTACAGTCAGCTCTGTTAATATGCTCCTCTATTTAGTGCATATGCAAAACAACCATTATTGAAAAATAGTGACATTCCAAGCATTTTCCTGATTTCTAACATTATCATTGATAATGTGAGAAATCACGAATTGGAATTTCACCATTTTTTTCACCGATTGTTTTGCATATTGTGATATCACCTGTTTACTGTGATCTTCTTGCATAGTGTATATGTTCTGAGAGTTTAATCCTTATTTTAAAGATGAAATTATTCTTGCCTTAATGATGCTAGTATAGTCAATAACCTTTTACCCTCTGTCCCATACGTAGTGCAATTTTTTTTAAATGATTGAAAAGGCGCATCAAAAATTGAACAGTGCTTGATAAAGGCTTCATAATCCATGCTATTCAATTTTGGATGCACTTTTTCAGTTGTATTAAAAAAAAAAATTACACTCTACACAGAGGAGCTCTATAAGAGAGTTTACTGTATGCTACAGTCTCTGACCCTTATATTCTTATCCATTTTACAGTTTGATCTATTGAAATGCGGTATACTATAATATATTTGCTAGTGTTATGCATTTTTTTTTAAATCTATTGAAGTTAATGTGCATAAATTGTTAGATAAAAAAATAATTTTTGTTTGATAATTTTTAAGAAAGGTGTGTTAAAGTTAGTTAATAAAACAATTATTAAGTTTTGTCATTAACTTAAGTGTGATAACTTTGAGATACTTTAAGTTGTATAAAGGTAACATCTAGCAAAATGACTTTGAGATAGTTGTGTAGAGGTAGCATCTAGGGCAAAGTTTTAGTACTAGTTGCAGTGTGTTGGTGTGCCTGCTGCTGCTCTTGTTATTGTTGTTGTTCACACTTGTAGCTAAGGTTTTTACCCTAATTTCCTCAGTTTGTCTATTTCTGCCTTAGAACTCATCTGTTTTCTTATTTTTTTCTCTTTTTTTTCCTCTTGTTTAGCAGCAAAACGGCACTCCGGTACAATTTCTCAATAAATTCTTCTGGGGAAAATTAAAATATTTGTTTAAGGCAAAATTTCTCAATGGAAAACACTGTTTTTAAAATCCAGATGTGATTTAGGTCTAAGCGAGCCATCGAGCACAGTCGCTCATTTGTAATGTTGGAGCACACTCGGTCATTGTGTAGAGTTTGTACGCAGGTGAGAGAATTAGGGGTAACTGGCGCTGTGTTGATATACAGTAAGCTTTCTTGTGAAGCGTTTCTATACGGGCCAATTTTTTGTAAATGCGACTGTAAAGGTACATGCAAAATTAAATGCTCATGGAAAGGCCTTCATAGTATGTGCTGTTTGATTTTTGCAATCATTTTTTCAGTCACATTTATGAAAAACTGGCACTGTATAGAGGAGCTTAGTAAGAGAGCTGGCTGTATTCCTGCGAGTTAAAGATAAAAGTTACAGCAGCCACTGCATGGCTCCTACACCGACCCAGCCACCTTGGGATGTATGCTCGAGGTGCATACAAGCTTCTGCAGCTTAAGGTTTAATTCACTGACTTAGATATTACTTTGCATTGAGCGTTTTATGATAGTGTAGTACGGTACGTGCTTTTGGTCGAAATTGTAGAATAAAAAAATTCAAGCTTTGCATTTTTAAGTCCTCTGCAACATAAATAAAAGAGTACCCATTTTGTAATGCACAGTTCCTGCCATAATTGCAAGCATCAACCTAAAATATTTTGATATTAGTCATTAATTAGTGCAAGGAATAAAAAAAAATCATAATTTCGTGGCTGGAACAATTCACCAAAAATTTGCAATTAGGAGGAACTTATGATGTTTTGGTCCATCCTGAAGCATTGTCAGGTCACAGCTATCATGGTAAGTAGGACACCTGCATGTAACAGTTAGGTACCTTTATTCTGTAAAGTCTCACATACACAATAGGCTTCTTTAGTGGAATACAAGGGAGGCTTTTCCTGCCTCCATTGTATTCTACTGGAAAAGTCTAGTGCATAGGCAAAATGTTTGGGAATAAAGATACCTAGCTGTTGAACATGTGTCTTATCAACTTGTTTGTATTGTAGACCATTATCAAATTTGCATCTATCATGACTTAACGGTGGTCTCGGGTAGACCATAACATTGTCATCAAGTTCTCCTAAGTGCGGGCTTTTGGTAAATTAGTGCAAGGAGCGTGTAAGCACTAGGCTTTTGGAATATGGTAAGTGTTTTATTCCTTAGGTACCTGTTTGGTATAGCCATGAGAAGGTTTATGCACACTCCCTATTTTTATTTTCTTGTTTTGTGTTCTTGAGAGAATGTAAAGATGGTGACATATTCGCTGTGGCTGAATTACCTTGATGGCTCAGTTTTCTCCATCCTGTTGCAGAAATTGGATGAGGTGTTTATGAAACAGCGCATTGTGCTCCATGTAAGAGGCCTCACGCCTGGTTTTTTGTTTACACGTCATGTTAGAAGCGGCCCCCCTCTCTCCTGCTATCCTCTTGGCTTCGTTGCATGCACTTAATTCTGCCTGGTTTGTAATATGGACCTCATTGCTCTCTGGTAATTATTAAACACAAATGCTTAGCAGTATTCAAAACTATTTTTTTCTATTATTAACACATGGGCCATCTCCCACCAAGGCAGGGTGGCCCAAAAAAGAAAAACTTCCATCATCATTCACTCCATCACTGTCTTGCCAGAGGCATGCTTACACTACAGTTTTAACACAATAATGATTTACAAAATATAGAAGATTCTCAACATTAATTCAAGGACTTACTGTACTCTCAATGAATAGGTAAATAAATAATTACTGCAATTAAATACCAGTATTGAAAAGTAAATAAAGTTTACAAGTTTATCGTAACAATTGCTGCTCCAGGTATGCACCATCGTAAAGTCGAAGTATTGTAAGTCAGACCAGCATAAAACAAAGAGCATCTGTACATCATTGTAATGCACAAATTCTCATCACCGTACATGATGTTTGAAAGAAGTTACTTAGGATTTATAATGAGTGGGTGTTAATTTCACCCTTTATCGTTGTATTTGTGCTTAATAAAACCCGAGAGTCAAAACCGAGTCCACTGTTTTTTTCTTGTAAGTTATTGCTTTGGCCGTTGCATGGCATTTTCTTAAATTGCATGTTTCTTTTTTTTTTTTCCTAGTCAATAATAATTTACTCAGTAGATATAATGTTTAAGTAAACATTAGTTTTATCTGTGCATTTAATGTTTCTTGATTCTCTTGTGAGTTAACAAATTAGAAAAAAAATTTGACTTAGATTGACAATTTTTTTGAGAGGTTGGGGCAGGTGGAAGACTAAAATGTTTTCATAAGGAATAGAGAGTCACAATACCATGGCTGGAACAATACACAAATAACCCGCACATAAGAGAGAGAAACTTGCGTTTCGGTCTCACTGGGTCCAAATTGGGCCGAAATATCGTAAGTTTGTGTATGGGTTATTTGCGTAAAATGTCTTCATATCCTTATAGGATATTTATCAGAGAATAAATCAACACTTCAGTGACAAATCCATCGTCGTCATAACGTCAATTTAACCCCATAGTAAATATCCACATGAAGTCTTTCCACCTGCCAAAATTATAATTTCTTTAAATTCAGTCATATTTTCTCATTCTTGTTACACTATCTTCAGCAGCAGTCAAGTTCCATTGTAACATTTTCATTAACATTTTTACGCTCATCATTTCACATTCTGGTTATTGAATGAGGAATCTTGACCATCTGTTGTATTGTGAGGTCCAAGTTAACCCTTAACCCCTAAACTGTCCAAACAGATCGACGTTTACATGCGTAGTGCTCCGAAAGTAGATCTACGTTTTTATACATATTTTCAAATATAACAAAAAAAAGCACGTCAAAGTTTTTTACACGTTTACAAATGTAAAAAAAAAAAAAAAAAAATCTCCATTTTTACATACTTTCAAATGTTGAAAAAACGTAGATCTACATTTGGACAGTTTAAGGGTTAAACTGTCCAAACATAGATCTACATTCACATGCGTTGTGCTCCAAAAGTAGATCTATGTTTTTTTACATATTTTCAAATATAAAAAAAAGTAGATCAAAGTTCTTTTAAATGCTTTCAAGTTTAAAAAAAAAAAAATTACGTTTTTTTTACATTCAAATGTTGAAAAAACGTAGATGTACGTTTGGACAGTTTAAGGGTTAAATGGCAGCCACTGTAGTAAAGGGATCACAAGAAGCAGAAAAAAAGACTTGCATCAGAGTTTTTTGCAATACTCTTGATATTTCAACTTCAAAAGTAGGAAGATGATAAATAAATCACAGTACTATACCTAGTACAACTAGCATAAGTCAAAATTTTTAGATTAGTCCATCCTGGATCAGTTTTTATCTCAACTTCATAATTTCTCATAAATGGACTAAGACATTGTCTTTCCATTTAAATTTTAAGTTTGGAGTTCAATGTTATTAGTCACTGTAAATGGTGTAGGTCGTGTATGTTACAGTAAGGTCAGAATGGGAGATACACCTTCATACTGGATTAATATTAAAATGGAAATAAATCACTCTGACTTTTTTGGGTTATCCCAGGTTGTCTACACATGCGCTGCTATGTATGATACTCTATGTAACTGTATTTGTGTATACCTGAATAAACTTACCATTTGTAGTTTATCAAAAGTTGATTCAACAACAACATTCAACTATACAGTGGACCCCCGCATAATGATTACCTCCGAATGCGACCAATTATGTAAGTGTATGTAAATGCGTTTGTACGTGTATGTTTGGGGGTCTGACATGGACTAATCTACTTCACAATATTCCTTATGGGAACAAATTCGGTCAGTACTGGCACCTGAACATACTTCTGGAATGAAAAAATATCGTTAACCGGGGGTCCACTGTAGTACACAAGCTGACAAGGTTAGCTGCTATTTTAAGGTAAATACTTCTAATTCAGATTCAAATTCATTGTACAAAATACAGTGGACCCCCGCTTAACGATCACCTCCCAATGCGACCAATTATGTAAGTGTATTTATGTAAGTGCGTTTGTACGTGTATGTTTGGGGGTCTGAAATGGACTAATCTAATTCACAATATTCCTTATGGGAACAAATTCGGTCAGTACTGGCACCTGAAAATACTTCTGGAATGAAAAAATATCGTTAACCGGGGGTCCACTGTATATGATGATTAGAAAGGACATAGGATGCACAGCATTTCAGGCCGACTTATAACAGCTTGATTGCATAGTTTTTAATGGGTCTAATACGAAGTATTTACAGATAGTTAAAAAAAAAGATAATAAAAAGGCATGATACCACAACTGGTTCCAGTTGTGGTATCATGCCTTTACATACTTACATAAATACACACTTACATAAATACGCTTACATAAATACGCACTTACATAAATACACTTACAGCCTTTCCTCACTTAACGACAGAGTTCCATTCCTAAGACCACGTCGGTAAACGAATTCGTCACTAAGTGAGGAACACACTATAATGGTAGTGGGTTTGTGTCAAACATCTTTAATATTGTTTTAATGTCACCTTTGCACCATTTATAACATTTCTGGTATATTTTTAAATGTTTATACAGTAGTGTACTGTATATTGTAATAAACAGAATAGAGGAAATCAGCTCTAATATATATTTAGGTATGCATGCTGGTTAGAGAGCCCGTCGTAAGTCTGAGTCGTCGGTAAGTGAGTACGTCGCTAAGTGAGGAAAGGCTGTACATAAATAACCTGCACATAGAAAGAAAGTTACGATGACGTTTCGGTCCAACTTGGACCATTAGTCACGCCAAGTCGGACTGAAATTTCATCCCAAGTTTCTCCTGTGTGCGGGTTACTTGTGTATTAAAAAAAATAGGATGCAAGTTATTAGATACTCATTAATCATAAAAAAAATTAATTGACTGGTTGTAGACACCTAAAGTCAGTACCTGATCAGCCAGGCTGTGGTTTGTACGTTGGTTTAAGTGCAGCCAGCAGTAACAGCCTGGTTGATCAGACTGGGCCGCAGGGGCATTGACCCCCAAAACCCTCTCCAGGTATACACCAGGTAATTAACTAGTATATAATGTTACATCAAAATAAGGTTTTAACTACTCCACGTAGATAGATATTAAAAAGTGATCAAGTTTGAGTTGTAAATAAAGAACACAGTTCCCTTATATTCAGTAACCCGGTCAATGTAAAAACTGTCATTAAAAAATATACGACTTGTCTTCATTGCAAATAATTTAACGAGTTTAGGAGAAATTTGAGTCCAAAAATGTTTGAGCAAATTTATTTTGGGAATCATTTTATAGTTCACACAAATTTTCAGAATTAATCTGTATCTTGTGATATATTTCCTGTAGTAACTGACAGGTTATTTTAACATTAAAAAAAATTAAATTCTAACTTTTATACATAGGTGTTTTTGTATATACAGTGGACCCCTGCATAACGATCACCTCCCAATGCGACCAATTATGTAAGTGTATTTATGTAAGTGCGTTTGTACGTGTATGTTTGGGGGTCTGAAATGGACGAATCTACTTCACAATATTCCTTATGGGAACAAATTCGGTCAGTACTGGCACCTGAACATACTTCTGGAGTGAAAAAATATCGTTAACCGGGGGTCCACTGTATACATATATATATTTTTTTTAATGAGTCTTTTCAGACTTTTTTTTTCACATCTTGAACAATACTGTAACATAGTATGTGATGATTTATAGATTTTTTGTTCTCTCAGATTTGCATGGATGTTTCCTAGCTTCCAGGATAACAGTTTATGTATGTTCTCCTGTGTTAAGTCTTGTAGCCGAGCCCTACCTCCTCAAGGATCTCTCTCCCTGGCAGCGAGCGTCTCGCACGCGGTAGTCTTATCTAACTGCAACTAGCACAGCAAACTGTTCTCGTTGATCCTTTTCCTTGCTGGATCAGTAGGATTACTTACTGGATCAGTAGCATCACTTACTGGATCAGTAGCATCACTTACTGGATCAGTAGCATCGCTTACTGGATCAGTAGCATCACTTACTGGATCAGTAGCATCGCTTACTGGATCAGTAGTATCGCTTACTGGATCAGTAGCATCACTTACTGGATCAGTAGCATCGCTTACTGGATCAGTAGCATCACTTACTGGATCAGTAGCATCACTTACTGGATCAGTAGCATCGCTTACTGGATCAGTAGCATCGCTTACTGGATCAGTAGCATCGCTTACTGGATCAGTAGCATCGCTTACTGGATCAGTAGCATCGCTTACTGGATCAGTAGCATCGCTTACTGGATCAGTAGCATTGCTTACTGGATCAGTAGCATCACTTTCTGGATCATTAGCATCACTTACTGGATCAGTAGCATCACTGGATCAGTAGCATCGCTTACTGGATCAGTAGCATCGCTTACTGGATC